TTAGTGGTTTTATGAATCTTTGGATTGGAAAATCAGGGTCGAAAGTCTATTCTGGACATCTTTATTTGTGAATACTAATACTACAATCCTACAATTTTTTCAATGGTTGTGATCTTACAGTCCTAATCCCGATCGCACGTTTTCACATAATCTTGATCTTTTGTTTTGTCTTGACGCTTAAATTTATGAGGTACGTAATTTTGATTTCAAAATTTTAGTCCTATGTGTTCCAATTCAATTTCTGATTGTCTGATCTTGATTTGCGATGTCGAGCACATCGGTCCGGCACCGCACCAGGGAAGCGCGGGACCCTCCCGGTCGCGTCACGCAGGAGTTGGTTTAAATCCTTCGTCGCAATATAAATGGAGCTTCCATAAGCCGCTCCGGCCGAGTGCGCCAGCCATACCTCTCGCGAACCCCTACGACAGGATAGGGGCTACGCGAGGCATGACCTACCTCCACCTTGCGGGATTTGTCACCTCCCTTCAGTGGGCGTATCCCCGCCGAGCTACCAGTCCACAATACGAAAGTTAATCAGTTACAATCGCAGAGGTGGACCAGCCGAGGGTGTTTCTCGTTCGCTGTAGCATAGGGGGTACGCGCGGTAATACGCCTATCGAACCCGCACGCGAACCGACATCTTGGGGGCTCGGCGTCGGTCGACTAGGACGCATCCCACACACCACGCGCACACCACTTTAAAAACACAAAAATAAAACACCCACACGCATACATACGAGACGACAGAACACAAACAACGCGACAACACTCCTAGCCCCTCGGTAGCCATCCCATAACTCTCCGATGCGGAAATCGGATAGGCGTCTCGCATGAGACTTAGTATAAAACCGCGCGGACGAAGGGCTAACTCATATCGACTCGCAATGCAAACGTACGCAAGCAGTCGCAATGATGGCGTACCATGTAGTACCCATACTCATCCGGTCCTCGTTAATCTCGAGGGTCGCATTCGACACTAAAGTGTCGATTGACACGCGCCTTGAGGGTTAGACGCTGGACAACCGCCAAGCGCGGTTGAAGACCACACACCCTCTTCTGCGCTCTGTGCAGAGTGGGTGGTACACAGGTCCATACCTGTGGTGACAGTCGTTTCTTACTGCCCTGAAGATGAACCCCACTCCAGGCCTGGACATAAGTCAAGGGGTTTGACTTTGACGGCTGTCACGGACTACAACATCCAACCATAAAATCTCTAAGAAGCAAAGGATAAAATGAGATCTCCCTTTTCTCTCAAACACATAATCTGTTTAACCCTTACGCGCAGTCACAATAGGTCACACGAAACACTTAAGTCATATATATACACATATGTATAGAGGGTTGTTAATATAGGACGATCAATCTCACAGTCACAGTGGGACTCCTCTCAGCCATATATAAATGTATGTGAGCGCAGACAGTCAAATCCCAAGTCCGAATCAGCAAACATACCTGCAATCACATCAAAGATTAAACCAGAAAGTCCATGCACTACACGGGGTCAACTTTAACCATTCTCTGCTCTCATACCCCTTGCTTTAGCCATGCAAACCTCAACCTCAGCGCAACCTCCCCGCAATAAAAATACTCAGTATCTTTGTTAAATGCCCATTCAATAAAGTCCGGGTAAAAACACAATGAAACAATTCAAACCACTGGATTGGAGTTGAATCGCAAACCGACGAATCGGCAACCGACCTGTTATCAGTGATAACAGACGATGATCCTCAAGGGATCCAGCTGAATCTAGTCCTGAACTTGAATCAAACGATCAAGAGGACTTGTAACACATGACAGGTCAATGCCCCAGGCTAACCCTATAAGTCCATGGAGAACAATCTCCATATCATGATCTTACCCAAATTACCCTAGTTAACTATATTTAAGCCTACCTCTAAGCAAATGCCCAAAGAAAGGTAGACTCATGGCAAAATCTCCTTTATTCAGAGTGGACTACCAGAATTGTCGCCTGTCAAAATACAATCGATCTCCCTTAAACTAAGAAAATTTCGGCAGCGCTTCCCGTAGGAAAAGTGTCTTTCCAGAATTCATATAAGTCCAAATATGAAAGCAGAAATAATCTTTAACTCTGGAAAGTCAAATTTTGTCTAACTCCCTGAATTAGTAAAAATTTGGGCAGCACTCCCTTTAGAAAG